GAGTATGACACTCCCTCTGCAGTGTCATATTCCCAAGTAAAAAACATTTTTATTCATATATTTATATTTGAAAATTTGATTTTCTTTTTCAATTAATAATAAAGAACTGTTTTTCCTAAAACCTGGAATCAACTTATATTCAAAAATTATTTCTTGATTTTCCATTTTAATCAAAGCACAAAACACGTGGATTATGAAAATATGCAATTTGACAATATGCAATATGACATTGATTAAGAAGGTTGCCAGGTGAAATGAATAACAATTAAATGCACATGCACAATGACAAATAAATTCATATGAGAGATAAGGCCATATGGCTTTAACTCACAATTGACAAAAAAAAATATGGCATTATCTCTCAATACGAAGCGTGATAATGCCATATGGCTTTACCTCGCAATTGGATGGGAGATAGAGCCATATGGCGTTATCTCGCATGGCTTTATCGCACCCCACCACCGATGCTATTCAAATACCGGCTCCGAAAATACCTTCTTGGTAGGATAGGCTTATAAAAAATATATTTAATTAGTATGCGTATTTTTTTACTTTTCATTTAAAATTTAGCACAAAAAACAGCACTCCTCCCTGGAAGAGGAAATGTTGGCGAAGATGATACCAACTGGCTTCCACTGAGAGACATTCCTCATTGTGACTAATAAATAAAGCCTAGTTCTGCGTTTGTGAAGGAGTTATTGATCTTAGAAACTATTTTTATAAAATTTAATGGGAAGGAAATTTATTGTGGTCCAAATTGTATGCAAGAAATGATTAACGCCTCAAAAACTCTTCACATGGCGGAAAATGTCAAAAAAACTTTTTTTAAATGTAGAATGCATTTTCATATTAAAAATTTGAATAAATCCTTAAAGTGATATAAATACACCATTTGTAATGTTTGTATGCCTATCCATTGAGTTTAAATAGTTAAACAAAAGTATTTTTTATAGGGAAATCCACTGATAGCGAGAACTTTTAATATATGTACATATGTATGTATATATTCGATATCAGTATATGAAATAGTACCCAAAAAGTAGTAAAAATAATCCAAATTTTCCCCCCCTTTTTCTACTACCCTCAAATGCATGACTGCGATTGGCATGCAGAAAAAGTGAGGTTATGTAAGTGATATCACCTTATATTTATTTCACCATGATATCAACATGATACAAATAAATTGTACGGTATTTTCACTGTGACAAATAACGGGTTTTTTGACAGTTGGAAAAAATACAACAACAATACAGAGCGCGGCAGATAATTCGAATAATCGCTACTTACAAAGAATCAGGACTATTAAACGGACAGGGTGGCGACGAATAACGTTACGTCCATTATAAACTTTGCTAAAAAGGTATCTTATTATTATTTTTCCACAGACTTTACTTTAATTTTATTAATTTAATTTAATCCATATCTTCTGTAACCATAGGCTAATTTCCTCCTTTTTGAATTCCTTATATTCCCCCTTTTGTCCAACATAAGCCATCATACTCCGAAATCGAATAGACACGGAAGTGCCATTTGTTCGACCAACTCTATACAGTTTTTCTTTTTTTCTTTTTTATATATCTTATATATCTGCGTGCCGCATGTACTTATCTCCCAAAGTTTCACCGTTGGCAAATACGAAACAAACGTGGCAATCCTCATGGAAAATATTTCTGGATTTAAAAACATTAAAATGTTTTAGGCAAAAAATAGGTGGCAACCCTATTCAAACATATTTCTGAATTGGGTTTCTTTTAAATACTTTCGATGTGATACCCAAGATGTTATTTTATTTGTAATTGTAATTTGAAATTTGAAAATACAAAATGCAAACTGTATTCTGAATACAAAATCTTATCAAAATCGTTATAGCCATTTCCGAGAAGCCTATGGATATACAAACATATATGTATATACAAAGATTGCTCGTTTACAGTAATAAGAATAAGGGGCAAAGTTTCCCATAAGTTTGCCGAAGAAACCATGGGTCTAAAATCAATTTGGAGTTTGCGAAATTGGGAAAACAGGTTTCGAAGAAATTGTGAAAACTTTCACTGTTGCGCCCTCTGGTAGAAGTTTTAAGAAAAACATAAGTGCAGAAATGGATTCCCCATTCCAAAGAACCCCTTCTAGCATGTTTTTATAAAAAAAATTTAAGCACTTCCTCACGACACTATAGCAAAATGCTAAGAAGCCTACTTTTCCAAATTGATTTTAGACGCATGGTTTCTTCGGCAAATGTACTTAGAATTACACGTAGAATCCTTCTGTACTACACGCGCATAGTCGGAAAAATCTCTCATACAAATTGACCCGCCCTAATGTGCATAAGTGCATATGTTGTATGAATTTATGTGTGTAAACAAACACCGCTAAGCTTTTAAGGTTTTACATATGTATATGTACGTATGTATATATGTACCCTGCAGTAAAATTTAGAGACAGTCTAGCGCTTTGCTAGTTCCGAACCACATATCTCAGAACTATCTCTGAACTAGTGCAAAAGGATGCAAAGCGGGACAGTTGAAACTTGCGATGGAAATGTGCAAATGCTCACTTACTCGTACAATACTACTCAGCGTTGGTCGCTAGTTCAAATCGCGGTAGAAGCAGTGGTGAGTTTTTCAAATTTAATGAATTAAAATTGTTGCATGCAGCTTGCAATAATTATTATTTTTTTATTAAATATGTAACAAAAACGGAATCTGTAAAAGAGAAAAGAAAAAAACGAAAAATATGTACAAAAATCGAATCGAAAATACATTTTCTTATAAAAAAAAAACTGTCCAAAACGGAACCAATTAAAAACTGGTTGCAAAGTTATGCACTGGGCGACAATAGCCACCGCCAATGACATCGCCGTGTAAAACTGGACAGTTGAAAGCATTGCTTGGGTATTGAGCTAGAACTGGTTCTGTCCGCAAATGGTCTAGTTCTACGCTAGTTCTGAGCTAGTCAGATTTTCTGCGGGGTATATACACTTATTTGCAATGTCCACTTTAACGGCCGCCATTTTTGTCGACATTTAGCGCTTTCTGCCACGCGACGATGTTTTCATCTGTAATTTGGGAAAATTACGCCGAAGTGTCGGTTGGGAAAATTGTGTGTAAACGGGCACCGGGGAAGTAATTTGTAGTTATGCCACTGCCGGCGCTAAGACGAAAAGATAAAGCGAATAAATGAAGCATACGTACGTCATTTCGTCGATTTTCGATGGTACAGACGCATGTATACTCGTCCCTTTTCTTCGCACCCCCTTTCTATCATAAGCGAGCAGAATTGAATTCAATACTTGAACTGTGTAAAAGTAGTCTATGTCCCAAAATATTGATTCAGCCTATGAAAGATCTACTAACTACATACATATGTATATAACACTGTGCTACACAAAACATTTGCAGGCGTTTTCATGTAGAAATTACGTTTCGGTATAGTCGAATAACAATTTTTTTTCTGTTTGAAAGACATGGGTTTTGCCTTTCTAACAAAGAAAAAGTTTGAAAATCGAGTAGTCAGATTTAGTCAGAAGAATTATGGCTGGCAAATCTTGAAAAGTGTCAATATCAACTGTATTTAAATTAACGGAAATTAAAGACTGCACGAAGAGTGTGAATAATCTAAACACTAAAAAAGCTAATAGAAAATGGAAGGAGGCAAAAAATTAATGATATGGTAAGTGCTTACTGTGCTTGTGTGAAACATTTCTATTTTTATCTGAATTTAGATTTGTTGTTGCCATTATTTGGACTAAAAATTGATTTTAATACATCTGAAATATAAATTAACTATGGTATTGACTCAGCACATCACTAATACAATGTGTCACATAAAGCTGGACTTACATGAGGCGATTTTCTAAGCGATTCAACATTGCTTCAGAAAAATCTGCCGTGTAAATGGTGATTCAAAATCGCTAGTCTCAAAGTAGACAACAAGTCAACTTTTGCAGGCGATTATCGCAGCTTAAGACAATATCAACAAGTAATCAATTTCATCAAACTGTATGAAAATTTTGTCGTATGAGAAATTCTTCGTCACGTACAGCAAAATGTTGACCGCGAACCTGCAAATACGACAAAATCTTACTCAATACCTCGAAAACTAAATGAGATATCTAAAAACTGATAACACCAACTGAAAGATCTTATTTAAAAAAATAAAACTGCATATTGAACTAAAAATCGTCAAAATGACGCTTCCGACAATGATTTTCCTAAACGACGATTTATTTCAAACTTGTTTGCTCATAGTCGCGCTTGCACATCGAACTTGAGGGAGAAAAACCTAAGGGCGACAACACTGCTTTTAGGGACTACTCCGCTGTCAGCTGTCGCTGCTGTTTTGTCCATTCACCATCAGTGTTGCCGTCTTGCTTCAATTTAAGCAAAATTTATTAATTTTTTCCTGCCTGTTAAAATGTTAAATTTTTCTTCGTTTTGCTAAATTTTTTTATTAAAATGTTCAAAAAGGATAATTTTCCTCAAAAATTCATTTCTGACCATGAGTCAATAAATTTTTCTATTTTATTTTAGGATCCCGCATAAAGTTCCAGGAAATGTTGTTCAACGCAACTCCCAATCCGCGGTCGTAGAATTTTCAAATCTCCGAGTGTTCTTCTGCCATGAAATCTTTTCGCATAAAAACCATTTGCAGTTGGGAGGCGACCTTAAGTCTCTTCATTTGCTTGACAAGATCAACATGCACATTATGGATAAAAAGATACTAAACTCGTTTTATGTATGCATTCAAAAAAATAGCGGAAGGGCAGCTAACTATAATAGGAGTATATGAAGGCCTGAAAGAATGTGTAGGTAATAGTTTTCAAATTAAGCATTTGTTAGACTACAAAATCCTTACTTTTGAGCCTTAGATTGCCTTTACTTACTTACTTACTAATTTTTTTATTTCTATGACCAATTTACCAAGCTTGGTAAGAAAAGCCCAAATTAATTAAATAAGTTGTTTAATTTTTACGAGATTTGGTAAATTTTTTTAACGATTTTGGTAAATTTTATTTTCGACGCGGCAACACTGTTTACCATTCATCTCAAATGGTCGGAAAACCGGCACTTTCGCGAAATTTTAAGTAAAGATTTTAAGCGAGATTTCAAGTCAAAGGGAAGTGATTTCCATATTTATTGAATCAGGTGAAAAGCCTCAACGTAAAATATCTACACAATGTCGTTCCTTGCAAGAGCGCTTCTCAGAAATGTAAGTTAGCCTTTATGCTTAGATAGCGTCGAATTATGTATTACGTAATTGCAATTCAATGTTTTTACCATTTTAGGTGCCTACCTTATGCCAACGCATGGGTCGTCAGCAGATAACCGCTGGACGGCTGTTACATCAAAGTAAGTGGTCCCAGAAGCCTATATAGATCCTTATGCTTCTAGGTACATATGGGTGTTAATTGCTAGTTCTTATCTCGTACTTATTTTTTTTTTTTAGCTGCACCACTGTTGACTGTCAAAGTACAACAACCTGCGCCGGATTTCAAAGGATTGGCCGTTGTGGGCAATGACTTTCAAGAGATACAACTCGCAGACTTTAGAGGAAAATATTTGGTGTTGTTCTTTTATCCCTTAGATTTGTAAGTATAATTCAATTCTCTTATCGGTTATTGACCTCTTAATTGATGACTTATATTTTATTTTAGCACCTTTGTCTGCCCAACTGAGATCATTGCATTTAGTGAACGCATTGACGAGTTCAAGAATTTAAACGCAGAAGTTGTTGGTGTATCCGTTGATTCACATTTTAGTCACCTGGTTTGGTGCAACACGGCCCGCAAAGATGGTGGCCTTGGTGGCCTTAGTTATCCACTTCTCTCCGACATAACTAAAAAGATTTCAAATGATTATGACGTGCTGCTCGAGAACGCAGGCATTTCTCTGCGCGGTACCTTCATTATCGATCCCAACGGCATCGTGCGTCAATTCTCTATAAATGATTTACCGGTTGGTCGATCTGTGGACGAAGTGCTGCGTCTTATCAAGGCATTCCAATTTGTCGAGGAGCATGGCGAGGTGTGCCCGGCTAATTGGCATCCAGAGAAGAACCCAGATACAATCAAACCGGACGTTGCCGATTCAAAAGAATACTTCCAAAAGCACGGATAAGCACTTTACTTAGAATACATTTTAAAATCTAGAATTTATAGATTTTGTTGGCATGAAAAGAAAGTAAAGAAATATCAAAGAATCGAAACCAACTTTATATGTAGAGTATAGTTTTATTTTTTGAATCAAACTCGTAAAACTACAACTGCATTTATAGTTATAGAATAAAGATGAGGAAAGTAACCTAGGAAAAAACCAAACTTTATGGTTGAGATAGATTTAAATGTCAAACTTAAACTATTTTTCCATTGCATTACTTAAAATGCTGGATATCCGGTATTCATCTTAGACAATTGACTTGAGTGGCTTATACTAATAATAACCTTCGCAGTCAATTATTTCCAAACCAATTTCAGTTAGACGGTGGCGGAGGGGGAGGTGGTTGGTTAAGTGCAGGCATACCAGGAGGAGGTGGCGCACATGGTGGTGGTGGTGGTACACATGGCGGTGCGGGCATGAAACCAGGCCCGCCCCAACCACCGAATCCTGGTGGCATTAGGCCGCCTGGGGGTCCTGGTGGAGACCATGGCGGCAATGGTGCTTGCGTTCCCGGTGGTGGAGGGAGCAGTGGTGGCATCGGCCCAGTTCCAGGGGGTGGTGGTGGCAAGGAAGCGCCAGGGATAGGAGGTGGTGGCAAAGCCTCACCACCTGGTGGTGGTGGAGGTGCCGCTGTTATCCATGGCGGCGGAATCAATGGTGGCATCGGGGCAGCTGCACTTCCCCAAGCTGGTGGTATGGGTGGTGGTGGTGGACCTGTGTGCATAAGAGGCGCGGGTGGTGGAGCCGGCTGGGTGATTGTGGGCGGTGGCGCTTGTATAGCCAATGTTTGAGCTGGCTTTTTATCAAATAGACTATAACCGCGGTTGAGGTGCACCTGTGCTAATGGGTCAACGGTGGCTTTCTGTGCGCTTGGGGGCGGACCCTCTCCTAACTCCGCCATTAAACTCATGTACTCCTCGTCAATTTTTGCCTGAGAGTCCTCAGTGGTTGCTTCACCTGCGGCACCAGGTCTCTTACTGCGACAATCTTTTGATATATGTCCGGCTCCACCACACGAAGTGCACACAATGCTATTTGTCACATTGGGTTTGTCGGGACACAACCAAGACTTATGCTCACTAGATCCGCAATTTGTGCAGCGTGGACAATCAGTCTCGCGCAAGGTGCCATTCAACTGTGCCAACTCTCGTAATTGCATGCGCCTCAAATCATTGTGACCCTCCGGAACTTCAATGCCTTGACGAATTACATCTTTTATTTTATCTACAGCTTTTTTGACTGCCTCCGGATTAGGTGCAGTAATGAATGCATGCAGTGGTTCATCTTCACCCGGCAGAGGTTGACCATCTTTCCTACCGACTTTACCTTCCTTTACGGAACCTTTGCCGCGAATAATGATCTTAGCGCCTGTTTCTTTCTCCATCGCTTTCAGAGTATTACCACGTGGACCAATTAGCAAACCAACGAAATTTATATCTGGATGTTGTTCCTGTGGTATTAAAACCTTGTCGCTAACACGTGTGACTGGCGGCCTACGAGAAATAATCGTCATTCAAAAAATAAGTTAAAAATTTATTTATTTTGCAGTTTACTTGTAATCGGCCGGTGGTTTAAACTCAGGATTAACGCTTTGCATTTTCTGAATCAATTGGTGACGACGCTCTTCCAGACGCTTGCGGAAACGAAACTCACGGGTGTTCAACCGTTTGCCATCAGAACTATAAATTGGTTCCGGAGAAGGTGATCTGTGAATGACAGAAAGAAAATATGGATATTTTCAAAATATTTAGTTTTCAACTACCGCAGGGCTGTGACTTTACTCATAAATGCTGTAGTATGTAAATAACTTAGATTTTATAATCCTATACATATCCTGAAAATTAATTTTGTATTAATTAGCTATTAGAATAAAAATTTTCTGGTTAGGTCTCACTTTTGCTAGGGGAAAAGAGAAAAATTTTAATTAATAGCGTTTATTAATTGTTTAACGGAATTTAGCCGATGTGCACCACTGTATTTTCCCGAATTTTAATTCAGCGCTCGCTTTTGAAATTCGTTCATGTGCCTCGTTGCAATTAAATCTTAGGCTTTTTGCTGTCTTCTGCATTTAGCCATGAAAGAGAAAACATGTATTTCATTAATACAGATCTGCTGAAGTAAATTTAAATAGAATTAGTGTATTTACTTAATAATGACTTACACTACATCTCCCAAATCCAGTTAAGAAATACGGTGACTCAAACAAATAATCACGTGTTGGTTTTTTTATATATTCGTAATGCTTTTCGAGCTAATTTTTTTTTGTTATTTTCCTATAAAAATACCGTCCAAGCTTCAACCAAATTCATACAAATCAGTTTGAAACTTGATACAAAATTTAGGAAAATTCAACAAATTTCCATTAAAATTTAAACTTTTTAGAACATTTTTGGGTGTTCCCGTACTCCAAAATCCTTTAAATGAGAGCGATTTTGCAAGGTTTTACTCGAATTTTTTCTTCTGGTAAAATCATGAAAAGTGTCAAGCGATAGACTGTTTGACGTTTTTACAGGAAAAGTGCTTTTTTGTTCCCGTATACTTTTTTAGAGAGTAATTTTAGAGAGTTAAATTGCCGTTTGACATTTTTACAGGCTTTTACACGTAAAGTATTGGATCAGAGCAAAACTTTCAAAAAATTAACGCCAGTTTTTGTAAGTTGCCCTTGTTATATTAAAAAAAAACCGAAAAAGTGTTCTCCAAAAAAAAATCTCAAAAATCAACGCGATCTTTAAGCGGGTTGAAACATGCACTTGATCAGACTAGAATTGTATGAGCTATAAAACAGCATACACAAAAACGTTCTACAAATTCAGATTAAAAAGTTGAAATTTTGATGAAAATTTTTTGAATTATCCTAAATTTTGTATCAAGTGTGAAACTGATTTATATGGATTCGGTTGAAACTTGGACGGTATTTTTATAGAAAAAAAAAAACAAAAAAATTTAGCTCGAAAAACATTACGAATATTTAAAATAATCAACATGGGGTCTTTTGTTTGAGTCACTGTATCCGTATTTAAAATCGTATTAAAAAATTGCATTCTATTTTGAAAAAATGTATCCCGGTGTAAAATCGCATCTGATGCTAAATGTTGAATAGAATAAACTATTAAATTGAGGCTTTTGAATCATAAATGTGTTGCAAACAGTTGCTATGTTTACGTACGCAATAGGAGCAAGCACATATAATTTTGGCAAAAGATACTAATCGAGTACATATGCAGTGCTTATGGAAGTGTTCTTCGAATTAGAACTAGAATTAAAATAAGGGTCGAACTACGTTTCATAAATAAACCACGATTTCTGTTTTTGACTGACTTTTGGTAAACCTTAACATAGTGGTATTTAAGCAATTAAAAAAAAAAAATTATTTATTGGTGATGCTTTCTATTCTAAAAGCATCGCTTAAACCTGGTTCGATATGTCATCACTTATATCAAGCGTAGGCCTTGGAAACCAAACAGCATTAAGTTGCGAAAAAGTAGGTGCCACCCATCTTGGCTGGAGATGTATAGAAAAGCAACGGTCAATGATTGTGTACATAGAAATTCAAACCTTTCTTCTGGATTTTGCGGTATTCCCAAGTCTCCAGTGCGTAGTTTGCGGCTGATTTCCTCAATTTCAAGTTGGACTGAAATTAGAGCGGGTTAGAAAAAAGAAAGAGTCGAGATATGCCTCTATATTAGTGAAAGTTGCAATTTATTAATGATACAATAACTTTATATAAAATCAAAGTAAGAATAGAATTCATTATTAGAGATTTTTGTATTAAACAGTGTATATGCGGATTTTGCTGGCGATGTTGCATGATTTTGCTATTTTTTTTTTTTTGGCGATAAGTCAGCTAGCGCGAGTATTCTCTGTTTTCTCTCAGAACACAGGCGTAGTCTATTCCATTATGAATACTTACATATTTGTTGGTAAAGAACTGATAAAATTTGTTAATTATTCGTGAATTTAACAATTTCATTAATGTTATAAGGACGGAAATTATAAATGATTCTATTTACTTTACAGACACTACATCGAAATCCCGTGTATGGAAGATTACGATAGCAATAATTCGCTTCTCGTTATGGTAGGATTGATCTGATCCGTGCATCCTGTGCATACGGACGGGAGTTGGCTGTTAAACCTTAAATTTTTTCAAGAATCTGATTAGCATTACATTAACTACTTAAAAAAATGGTTACTTAAATTAAAATATTAATTCCAACTAAACCCACATACGACGACATTTCTCGTAAATGAATGCTTTTTGTAGTTTCCCCTAAAGAAAACGATAGATTAATAAACGATTGTATTAAAGAGCATTATTTGAATATGGTGTTCAGCTGCCGTTGGCTGCAATCTCGACGCATTTCTGTGAAGCCACGATCAGGGTTCGTTTACATGGAGATCGATGAAATTTTGCTGTTTTTCATTATGATTATTTTTTGTGTAAGTTTATTCTTAAAACTAGAGATAATTCTAAAGCGTGCAATACTACCTACAATAAAAATATGTACAAAAAATAAATTATTTGTATACTTTACCTAAATATGCCTCCTGTTGAGCTGAGTCTAGTGTGGGGGGCAAGATTGTTGGCATCCCAGGTATGAACGTCTTGTCATTTTCAGTGCCACCCCAACGTGATCTCTTACGCTTTTTACGATCAGTTCCATCTTCTACAAAATTAATAACGAAACAAATATGTAAAATATTTATCATAACTGTTAGGAATCACTCACGTGAATTTTCAGAAGGTCCATTACTACAAGAATCATTACTATTGGAACATTGAAATAGCGCAGCAAAGTTTTTTGAAGATGTGGTGCTATTCATTAATTCTTGAATAGTTTGTGTTAAATCAAACCCCCTTTCACGAGGTTCCTCTTTAATTGTATCCATGCGATGATCTCGACCGTTGCGAAAATCAGAGTCGACAGCATTGCCTTCATTATGATCTCGATCTCTGCTGCTGCGGTCGTGTCTTCGAGCTTCATAACTACGACTACGTGAACGCCCACCGCGATCACGCCCACGATCCCGATCCCGTTTCTCCGTCCGACTACGAGAACGTCGCTTTCGACGGCCATCACAATCATTGCTTCGCGACCGACTACGTCGAGAGTGACTACGCGAATGACTTCGACGAGAACGGGTGTTACGTTCCCGATCACGGTCACGGCTGTCTCTTCTGCGATCGCGATCACGATCCCTTTCCCTATCGCGATCCCTATCTCGGTTACGTTCGCGATCACGATCCCGCTTGTAACGATCTCTTTCTCGACTGTCCTGTCGACGGTCTCGGTCGTTACTCTCTCGGTCACGGTGACGCTCACGGGACCTGTCTCTGTGAAAAAATACATATATATTTTTAGCAAAAAAATAAAATTTAATCAAAAAAAAACGGTTGAAAGACATGTTAAATAAGTACCTTCTCTTTCTGTCCCTATCTCGATCTTTATCCTTTTCCCTGGCATCTCGACTATGGTGGTCTTTCGAACGCGAACGGGAGCGATCTGAATTGTCATGCCTGCTACGGTAATCACGATCGCTATGGCCATTGTCCGGCTGTGGCGGCTGCATTTCTCCTATTGTCGGCCGTGGAGGAGTTTCACTCATTTTGCATAAAGCACAATTGCAATTATATTTCTAATATAAATTCAGACGATTTTTTCCGGATCCACAATTACTTTTGGATATTTAAGATTTCAGAAGCATAGATTTCACACGTCAAGCCAGAAAATTTTTTCACTATTTCGAAATGGATAAAGAATTTTCGAACTCAGAGTTGATTTTATGAAATTTCTTCAGGTTGCCACACTAGTCCTTTATAGAAGTTTGTCAAACCTAAGAATTTCCAAAAGAGATTGCAGGAGCAGTAAAGAGCGTGTCAGACGTGGCAATATATTTCGATGCAATAAATTTCGGAAAGGCTGTCAAATTGAGAAATCAGTTGCATGAGCAGTCACACCTTGCATTGAAAGTGTCTTTCGAAAGAGGTTTTTATTTCAGAACGGCGAATTGCAGGAAAAATTTCTGAAATCGCTTTTTGGCTGTTCACACAGCGAATGCACGGTGCAGCGAACAAAGGTGGCGCCGTCAGTGGTACCGCTACTTTGGTTTTGCCGATTTTGACACTTGTGGTAACTTGTAAATAAGCCTTTGTTTACAAATCAGCGAAAGAGAAATTTGAATTATAAGTGAAAAATCAGTTTAAATTGTGTTAATTTGCAATTTGTGGGTGATTTTTGAGATGCAGACTGCGTAAAAACTAATACGATGAAGTGATGTGTGTTAAATTGCGACAGCCGTCAAGATGCAAGAAGCGTAGATGCAAGTGTAGCGCGGGAACGAATCGCTGCATTTTGTGTACATAGGGCACGGCAAAGCCGTTCTCGAAATGTTTCTTTATTATTACATTAACAGCATTTCCTCACAATGATTTTGCTTCTGCTCCAAGCAGCCTCCATTAGCAAGTTAACCAATCAATCCAGCTGAGATGCTGCCGCAGTTTTCTGCAGCAGCCTTAATTGCAAAGCAATGGAGTGCACTAAAACGTTTGCTGAAGCAGCCTAAATTGCAAAGCAATGGAGTGCACTAAAATATTCACTGTTCTCTTATAGATTAGGTGAAAAATGCAATATTTTCGCAATTAGCAAAATTAAAACACGTTTTTCGCTGTAAAGTGAACTGCTTTGGCAGTTTCAACTCGTTCTTCTTTTCGCTCTATTCTTTGTTTACGTGTGGTACACAAATGTCAACGCCCAGGACGGCGCAATCTTGTATTCTATCATTCTTGCAGCGAATGAGTTTCAGGGCAATCTTTCTCGATACTAAAATGCAACCATGGGCGGTGGGGTTGTCGTTTGTTTGCTATTTCTCTTGTAAAAGCGAGAAAATATAGGTTATAATTAACATATTTGTCGTGTAAACAATAATTTAACGATTAAGTATATTAAACAAAATAATATATTTCAAGCATTTTTGATATTTAATTCAACAATATTTTTTATCATTTTACACAAATTCACGATCAGGGCCACACGGCAACACTCGATTAGTTTGACAGCACTTGCAGAAGAAATAAAAATTGCTAGTACAGCACGAGCAAGTTGAAATATATTTCCGAAATCGATTTTCGCTCTTGCAGTTGCAGTCCCACCTTGCATCTTTTATTTCTGAAACTGATTTCCGAAAGGTGACAGAAAGATCTTTCTGGCTGTTCACACATCGAAATAAAATTTCTCTTTCTCAATTTGACAGCGAATTGCGTGCGAAAGACGGAAATATTGCCACGTCTGACAGGCTCTTTACACCTTGCATGTAAAGTGCCTTTCGAAAGCAGTTTTTATTTCTGAAAATCAAACTTCCCGATACTAATTTTTGTCTGTTTACACGGTAAATGCAGACAAGCCCATTTTCACCTATGTTTCCAGACATTCTTATGCTTATAACCAAATTACTGACCTGAAAAATTTGTTAAAAATGCTCAAATGCGATGAAAAGAACCACAATGTGAATAGCGCTTTGAAACTTATATTGTTCATATCAGGAGATTACAATAATTACAAGTGTTTATTGAAATATTATGCAACATTTTTATAATCTTATATAAATTCGGCGAAAACGGGTCACACGGCAACACTCGATTCGTTTGACAGCACTTGCAGCAAAAATGAAAATCGCTAGTGCAACATGAGCAAGTTGAAATTGCTTCTCGAAAGTGACTTGCGTAATTGCAGTTGCAGTTACACCTTGTAATCTTTATTTCTGAAAGTGATTTCTGCAAATCTGCAAAAAGGACTTTCTGGCTGTTTACACGGGAAATTAGACTTTCGATTTCGCATTTTAACAGCAAAATGCGTACTAAAACCCCTTGCATTGCCACGTTTAACCACATCTTTATTTGTATAGTTAACGCGAAAGTACACAACATGCGTTCGCCGGCAAATGCATCACGCCGTCAATGTCAAATAAAATTGAATACGTGTGTTCGTATGACAGCTATGACGACGCCGTTACGAATACGTTAACGCAGTTGCCGTGGAAAGTAAACCAACTCGCTACTCTTCTGTTACGTTCATGCGTTGACATTTGAAATTACATTTGTGGCTATGCTTATCAGCTGTTTTTTGTTTACAAAACAATGAGCGGCCCAACACAAGGTGTGTAACAGCAAATTTTTCAACGTCGTCAACGCACCAACGGATCAACGCAAGGCCACAGCAAATAAAATTATGCGCCTTCAGCTTTAAGAGCGAAATACACCACACAAGCGGTTTGACAAACCAAGCGAAATTTCCCTTTGCTTCAAGCCATTTGTGCTGTGTATGGGGGTGTTTGAAGGTTTGACGGCGGTTTGGCTTGAAGCAAAGGGAAATTTCGCTTGGTTTGTCAAACCGCTTGTGTGGTGTATTTCGCTCTTTAGGCTCTCTGCACTTGGTCGTCTAATAATAGTTGCTTCATCGTCACAACCATGATTCAATGATTACATGACGACTACGCTTTCGCACACTCGGTCGTGATATCTCAATTCATTTGGCTTCTAAAAATTCGCTTAGAGCAGTGATTTTCTTTTTTTTTATATACTCATTTTTATATAATTTTAATGCAAATATTAGCGTGTTCACAAATTTTTCCCCATAAAATGTAAAGCGCTGTTTGCATTCAACTCAACGCAGGGTTGCACGAAAAAAAGTTGAATGGCTAAGGGCGGGTTGATCAATGTCTGATTAGCACAAATCGGAGGCAGAAGCTCCGATTAAGTACAACGACTGCTTTATCGATTACATGTTACATGCATGATGTCGAAATCGTCGATAGTGTAGTGGTTATGATAACCAGACATTGAACAACCGGCCCTAAATGTTGGCTGGCGACCAACTTTGTTGAAAGCGATTAGTTGAAAGGCCATTCAACCAAAAGTTGAATGCAAAGTTGAACAATGCAAACACCTTTTTATGGCGAATATTTTGATATTTTTTCATATTTTGATATTTTTAGCCTTTCAACTTTTTTTCGTGCAACCCTGCGGTGAGTTGAACGCAAATGTTGAACGCAAAGTTGAACAATGCAAACACACTTGAATGCAAAAGTTGAACGCGTAGCCGCTGTGTGGGAACACCTTTTAATATTTGTCATTTGCAAATGCAACCCTATGCTGGCTCCACGTGCCGAAATTAAATGTCAAATTAATGTTTTGTTCCATTCTATACTCAATTTTATATAGGCTATTTTCTTAAATTTTTTAGCGATTAAAAATAATTATGGCCAAAGCGAAGAAAAACAAAAAAACTTTAGCAGACAAAGTTTATGCCAAAAAAAGCGATGCAGCAGCTAATACAAATCCATTTGCAACTGCAAGGCCAGCGACTTCGAAGAGATTAAATCCTTTCGAGATGCATATAAACAGAGAAAAGTTCCAAATTCTTGGACGGACTTCCAAGCACAGCAAAGGATTGCCAGGTGTGTCTCGAGCCAAAGCTGTTAAGAGACGTCAGGAAACGCTTGCGGTAGAGTATCACGCAAAGCATAAAACGAATAAATTTCGAGATCGTAGAATAGGAAAACATCAAAATAGCGACCAACTTAGTGAAGATGTAATCAATGCACGTTTTGTGGCCGCAAGAGTAGAGCGGCTTAACCAAAGTAAATCTTCAAGATTTAACCTTAACGACGATGAAATTTTGACACATCGTGGTCAAACACTCGAGGATATTGAACAGTTTCGGGACGAGCGATCCGATGATGAAGATTTAGATGATGAGAAAGTGAATGGTTTGTACTAAATATTTTTCTTTGTGCAAAAGTTGAACTATATTTTTGATTCCAGCTGAGTTCACTGAAGCCGCACACTTTGGAGGAGACGTTGCTCTGTCAAAGGACCGACAGGCTGCAATCGATGAAATGATTGCTGAGCAAAAGAAGCGTAAAATGGAGATAGCGAAAGAGAAAGATGAAGTGCACACTTTAACTGAAAAATTGGATTCAAGCTATAAAGATCTACTCGGACTTGTTGACAAAATGTCAAAAAAAGAAATGCTTAAAAAGCCCAAACCAGATGATTACGATAAAACATTGAAGGAAATGATTTTTGAACCTAGAGGTGTGGTTGCTGATAAATTATTGTCAGAGGAAGATTTAGCTAAGAAAGAAAAAGAACGGTTGGAAGAATTGGAAAAAGAGCGCCTGAGACGAATGCGTGGAGATGAAGAAGTGGAAGTTGCATCAAATCAACCAAATCACCGGTCAGCCGATGCACTAGATGATGGATATTTCGGATATGCGGTGGAAGAGGAAGATGAAATTTTGGCATACACTTTAGATGGTTTGTTAAAAAAAAGAAGCATCTTTATACATTAACATTTTGTCTAATGTAATTTCTTATACTAAAGGTGAATTAGGAACGAAGTTAATTGGAAATGAATCTAAAGAATTGGAGCAGGAATCCGTAGAGGTCGATGATAATGAAGAAGATGAAGATGCGGAAGAAGAGGGTTCAGAAAGTGATATTAATTCAAATGCCGAAGAGGATAAAGTAGATAACTTAAGCGATTTAAAACTTACTGATTCTGAATCTGATGAGGATGAAGTTGAAAATGAACAAGGAACGACTGTAAGCACTAACAAGAAAAAGAAATCAAAAGCAGATTTAGAAGAATATCCTGGTTTACCATATACATTGGATATTCCAACAAAATACAACGATTTCAATAAATTGTTGCGCAAGCGTGCTCCCAAAGAGCAAGGTGTTGTAATTGAGCGTCTTATAAAATGTAATCATCCAAAGTTGGATGGTATAAACAACAAAGAAAAGATGGAAAAACTTTTTGCGTATCTATTGCAGTACGTAAATGAAACTTTCACCGACGCCACTCCAAACGACATATCCACAAAATTTAAAATACTGGACAAGCTAAACCCGCATATGTACGACTTAGTTCACATGAATCCAGAAAAAATGTCAAGTACGCTATTGGAGGTTATCAAGGAAAAATACACCAGTTATCGTAAAAATACTAAATTATTTCCAACACTTGAAACGCTTATTTTTTTCAAACTTGTATCTAATTACTGCAGTACTTCAGATTTCCGACATGCTGTTGTAACACCGTGTTATATATTCTTACAACACATATTGTCAAAGTCCCGGATACGGTCACGACGGGATATCGCCGGTGGCCTATTTTTAGTGACACTTACCCTTGAATTCTCGCGGTTATCGAAACGGATTTTGCCAGCAGCACTTAACTTTTTACTTGGGATCGTATATTTAAGTATACCAAAGCGACCAGTAGAAGTATTTAAAATTGTACCACCTTTTCAGAGTGTTGGACCAATGAGCAAACTGCTGGCAGTCACAGAAATCAGTGAGAAGGAAACGTTAATAGACGAGTTATTGAAATCTGAAGATTTAGTTTTGACCGCGTTTTCTTTAGACTTTAAGATAAGAGCTTTAAATACGGCGCTCAAATTGATAAGGGATATTATCACAAATATAGAAGAACATATTGGCTCAAACTATTTTGCTGCACCCTTTTTGCATTTACTCGAACGTCTTCCGGTAGATATTTACCCTGAATTTGTGTGTGAAAACTTTAAGGCGGCAAAGATTGCTTTAGAACGTGTTTCTAAGAAAAAATTAATTAAGATTGTGCCTCCAGAAAAGAAACCAAAAGCGCTGCGCCTACTTGAGCCGCGAATCGAAGTAATTTACGACGATAAGCGGAGACCGCGTTTAACGAAAGAAAAGGAGGAGCGGGCTAAGTTAGTACATAAAATACGACGTGAAACTAAAGGTGCTATACGAGAGATACGCAGAGATACTGAGTTCTTGCAAAATATTCGAATACAAAAACAAATCCAAAGGTACGAGAATTTTTCGTTTGAAATATACATACATAATACGTACATATGTAATATTTTCGAAATATACATAATTTTCTTTTCAGTGATATGGAGCGCAAAGAAAAAGTCAAGCGCATCTATCAAGAAGCCTCTGCCCAGCAAGGTGAACTTAATGAGCTGGAACGTATTAAGAAGCGGAAAAAGTTTTAGTGATACTAAAACTCAGGTGTACATACTCGATGTATATGTAGACTTTTAATTATTTAAATTAGTTTATATTGATTAAAAAGATAAGCAAGAAAATATAGACTAAATTAATCGTGGACATACAAATTATGCACATAAACGCACATTTAAAACTGTTCGGTCCATCGTAAACAAAATATTTATTGAGAGACATGCATTTCTACTGATTCACTAAAAAACAACGAGCAAAAACTATAGAGAAAACTAACTACATTTGTACACATTTACTGTATAAGTAAATTATTTACAAAGTGCAAAGATTTAATAATAAGTCGGTTGCGAAAACAAGCAACATGATAAGACAATTAGAGTAAAATGCTGTAGTTTGTGTGATTGACACGCCCTATTATATATTTAATGTATATTTTTGTTTATATTTTTATTATACACAGAGTGACCGAAATGATTCCACTAAGCTAAGAGAACTTCAACATTCCTTCAAATTATAATTTAAGTATTAATACTAATTGCCAGAAATTTCCTGGCATCGTAACGTAGCTGCTTCCACTGCGCCAGAAACTGTGCCACGAAAACCTATTTTTAAAATAGTAAATACTGCCAACAATTTTTTTTTTGTTTTAGTAATAAAATAAATACCTGCCGATTCTAACACCTTTAGTGCGGCAGCAGTTGATCCCGCGGGGCTTGTTACATTATCCTTCAAAACACCCGGGTGTTCATTAGTATCGCGAACCAACTGTCCAGATCCTAAAACAGTTTGCGCGGAAAGACGATAAGCTAAATCGCGCGGTAAACCCATACGTACTCCACCATCCGCTAAGGCTTCTATCATGACAAACACATAAGCTGGCCCACTTCCGCTCAAAGCTGTGATGGGATCAAACAAATATTCTGGCACTTCTTCACAGGTGCCAATCGCCTCCAATAGTGATTTTGTTACTTGCCCATCCTCTTGATTTGCCTTGGTACCGCGAGTATATACCGAGCACGCTGATTTTACAAGAGCAGGCATGTTCGGCATGGCGCGGATGACTCTTGCGTTAATGTCTAAATGCTGCAGTTGGAGATAATCTTTTAGGTAAATATTTACCAATCAATATCTTACTACTAATGCGTACCTGTTCCAACATTTTTATAGTTATGCCCATGGCTATTGAGATAAACAATTTATTATTGCTTAGCGATTTTATTTCAGGTAAGATAATAGGTACTACCTCTGGCTTAACTGATATGAATACAATATCAGATTTTTCAACGACTGGCTCGTTTTTAACAACCGTTTCGACGCCGATTTTCTAAATTCAATTGAAAATTAGTAAAATATTTTAATATTTTGTTTATATGATGTATTTACCTGGAACTGTTTAAGGCTTTGTATGTCGTTTGGGTGTACGCTAGCAATCACACTATCGGATTTTGTAAGACCTACATGGAAAAAATGATATGGAAATATAATTTTAAGCATTTCTGTATGGTTATTATTTATTTACCGGCTGAGAGAAAGCCTTTTATCATAGCTAGTGCCATCTTACCGCCCCCAATGACCCCGATTCTACCCACTTGATTCATATTTGTTTAGTATAATCTAAAATCACAGCAATATTATTTGAATACTCAAGACTAGGTCCAAACAGCGCAATTGCCAATCGTTAATTAAACACCTATCAGCACGAAACTCAGAATGCGTCGTAAGTGAGAAACGCCTGATAAGGAATTGTATGATAAGCTGAGCACTATAGCCAATGATCAAGCAAATATATAGATAAGTGCCTTCGATATCCGCTGCACGTCCCTGTTCAAATACAAGCTATTACAAGCAAATTGTATACATATTTTTGTACACTTGCATTGTAAATGTATGTTGTAGCCGAACAGAGGCTTTAACTGATAAGCTTCAAAGAATAATAACCAGCAAATGTTTTGAATTGAAGCGTCCATAAGTTAAAATGAATGACGCCTCTAATAAATCTTGTATACATAACAAGCAAGTGCACAACTATTTATACAAATTACACTGGTTTACATCAAAAATGTTCAATCCGATTCCGATATAGAATTGCTCGCTGATTCCGAAAATTTAGTTAATTTTTCATTCTATGGAGAACTTTTCGAGATATTTTGAATTTACCGTTATTCAGCGTAATACCAAAATTGGTTCCATTTAATCACGAATATCGTACGAACAAATTTAATAATCTTAATATGAAAACTAATAAAATTCTCCATAAAACATAAATATATGTTACCGGCCAAACCCGATCTTAGGACAAACTAGTTTTGCCTAGGCTAAAAAACACATTTCCGCGTACGCGACCTTCGACCGTACTTCAAAAAATAACCCTCATCAGTCCAACTCCAAGTACGCAGTCCAAAATATTGTTGCGTCCAACTTGTTTTCACATTGGACGGATATATTGGTGCAACTATTTTAGCCTAGGCTAGACTAGTTTGTCCTAAGATCGGGTTTGGCCGATAACATATACATTACTTTCCGATAGGACTTATAGTTTCTGACAAAT